TCTGACAAGAAAACCCAAAACACGTTGAGTTCACAGGATGCTCACAATTTCCCCTTCCCGTCACAACTGTGCCCCTTCCCCCCCCACTTTTGTCCTCTAAATCCTTTCCATGAATGGAAGGAATGCGTCATGTCATACTCAGCCCTGTGAGTCTGTCCAAGCTGGGTTTCATTCCTGGCTCTCTTATTTCGGGGGGCTGGATTAACAGTGTGAATGTGAGGGAGGAGGGGAGGCCCAGAGCTGAAAAAACTTTACTCCCAGGGTCAGTTTTGACCCCAACTCCCTAGTGGAACAGTAGATGGGTAGGACCACCAAGAGGGGAAGAATATGCCTTATTTGATGCAGTACCAATACGGAATAGACACCAAGAATGGGTAAGGGCTGGGACAGAATGGGGCTGCAGGCAGATGTCCCCAGGTGAAAATGAAGGAAGGTATCTGGCTGTGCCCTGCTCTGCTATTGGCTGCTGAGCTACTGCTGCTCATACCTGCTTTATAACCTGAAGCACAGCTGGATCCAGCCCCTGCTCAAAGTCCTCTGAAGGCTGGCTCACCTGGTTTAACACCATAGTGTAAACTCCTTAGTCTGGAGTTGGTGATCTGCATGATCTGGGCCCAACTTCCTTGGCCATCTTATCTCCACCACTTGTCCCCAGTGACTTCCTAAAATATCCCACATTCTAGCCCCAATGGGGTACTCGTAACCCCTAAACATGCCATGAACTCTCTGGGCCCCATGCCTTTGCTTAGGCTGGTCCGTTCTCTCCTTCTGAAATGCTCTTCCCCCATCATCTTCTCTACCCATGGATCTGCTATACCCTTTAAGACCCACCCCAATACGACATCCTTCATGAAAATCCACTTGCTTAGAGAAATCACTTTCTCCTCAAATCACCCAAAGCATTATACTAATCCAGGACTTCTTTTATCGCTTTTGTCATAGTGTGCCTTGGAACTGGGTCTCATTCAGAGGCAATACCTAGCACAAAGTAAGTCCTCAATAAATCTTTATAGTAATGAATGGAGCTGTGAGGTTGAATGAGGTTAATAAATGGCCAGGAAGGGGAAATAGCACGAAAACAACAGAGTTCTGTTAAGCTTTCCTGACTTTTACGTGTCTGGTGCCTCCTTTCCTTTCCCCTTCTCATCACATTAAATATTTACAACGTGCTAAATAGGCTTTTCCCACACTGTAGCCGCCCTCAGTTGCAAACCTGAGGCATAATGTCTGTGTTGTAACTCCCTACATGGTAAAAGAGAACACTGTGTACTCATGATGGGCTGGAATAACCTCCAACTCTTCAATTCCATGGCACTTCTCAAGGGCCTCCTGTGTACTCAGGCTTCTGCTAGGGGCTGTGGAGGAGACAGGTTAAAGAAGTCACCACCTGGTCCCTACCCTGAAGAGGGCTATCAGAAGCCAAATCTTGGAGGAATCTGAGTGAAGCCTTGAGGTGGATAGGACCCAAGTAGTCAAAGAGGTTGGCAAGGCAGCCGAGTGCTAAAGGCCTGGAGATGGGGAGATTCTCTGGGCTACAATTTGTTCAGGAGATGGAGGAGAATGCGTCAGGGTGGGATCAAATAGGAATGCCTTTACTTATCTAAGTCTGAAGTTAATGCAGGTGAGGCAACATGGTAGGATTTCAAGCAGGTTAGTGCAGCAGTGTGCAGTGTAGACGGAAGGGAGGAGAGCCTAGAGGTCAGGGGGATACTAGTGGCAATCCAAGATTGGGGTTCTGAGGGTCTGGAAGAAGCAAGGGATGCAGTAAAAACACTGGATGGGAGTCAGGACACCTGGGCTCTAATCCTGGATCTGTTGTGGGGCCTTGAACCCATCACTTCTCCGCTCTGGGCCTTTCCTTAACTGTAAAACCTAAAAACTTTCAAAGTGACCCTTCCAATCCGATGGTCCAGGTAAGCCTTTGAAGTAGGATATTGCGAATGGAGGGAATAGGCCAATCTAGTGGACATTAGGAGCAAGGGAATGACTAACTGGAGTCAAGAGATAAAGGAGGGGGGGCGGGGACCGAAGAGGGTCCATCCAGCCAGGGAGAAATGGGGAACTGGGGGTGGGCGGAGCCGCTGCTCCCGACGTCTAGTTTGGCAACCCGTTTTCAGTTTCCCCTTTCTTCCCCTTCTCTAATTTCCTCTTAGCCTCACCTTATTTGGTGAAAGCGGGCAAAAATAGGATACCCCCCACCTCGTGCCCCGCCCCCCCACCCCCTTCCTCCCTTCCCTTTTTCAGGCTTGGAAATGACTTTTCCTCTTTCCCCACCCACCTGGAACCTTCCCGGAAACCCACCGCCCCCCA